ATTAGTATGTAGAGTGCTAATTTTATTTGAAAGCACGATATCGTGATTATTTATATTACATCCAGGTAGATAAATTCAAGGATGTTTAATGTTTTTTTTTTTTTTTTTTACTGTAACTGTTATATAGATTTTTTTTTCTTTCTCTTTGTTAATTTAGGTTTGTATTGTATTTAGAGCTATGGTTATATGATTGCTTGGCACACAGTCACTGATTAATAGTTTAGCACAGTTTAAACTTGGGCTTCAACTATTGGCATTAACAAATAGCTGTATAGGTAGGCAGCTGACTTTGCTCAGTGTTCTAAAAAGCCAAGCTCTGTTATAGCAACGCTCACTAGCCAGATTGATTGTGTCGATGAGACGCAGACAGGTTTGCTTTTCTCAAATATGATTGTGCAATACAATTTATTCTGAAGCACCAGCAGTCATTAATACTGAGATCCCTAGAGAATTCATGGAGTGCACAAATCGAAATCTTCACTCAAGTTAAATGCTCAACAAAAGAACTATTTGAATCATATAGTGTGCCATTTGTGTGGCTTATTCCCTTCCTACCGAGTTGTAGTGTGTTCAACAACCAGCTTTTTAAAACAAATATAAATCGTTGTGCTGTAATGAGCTTAGTTTCCTGTAATAATGAATTGCTTCTGTTATAATAACCCATTATCTACCTTCTTAAGTTTCAACCTCTTTTTTATTGTGAGTCAGTCAGAATCTGCAAATATATGAGTCATAAACAATACATATTAAGTTTACCAAAAAGAAGATGATACCTTATCAGTGTACAATTTAAACAACATTTTAGAAGAATATCACAACAAAAGTCATAAATAGAACAAAACAAAGTAAAACATGTTCTCTCACCCATCATTCATAATAAAACAAGGTAGACAATGTATTTGGTTCTAACATATTTGAAATTGGAGTGTGATAGGGGAAAGTCAACCAGGCTTGTTCATTTCCTTTTCCCTTCTCTTCTTTCCCTCTTTTCCCTTCTACTTCTCTTCCCTTTCCCTTTTCTTTAAGAGGGTTGATATGTTTATGCTATGGGGGTTGACTAGAGCTGTAGTTTTAAAACATATGGGGATCTACCTTTTTGGGCACCCCTTGGTCTACACAGTAATCGAGTTATGTTCTCTTTAACTTGTAACCAGGGTGCTCGAATACCCTCACAACCCGAGTAACAGTGGTAAAGGTCTGCTCTGTCAGCCCGACTCTTCAAACAGCCGAATCAATCATTTTGAGAGAAAGTTGTTTTTGAGGAGAATAAAAGACATGATAAGCAGCTGATGGAAGTATTTTAAGTAGCTTGATAGTTGATCTTACGATTATGTCAAGAGTCAATGTGGGAAAATGAGCAACTCATCGAAAAATCTCAATTGTCTGGTAGAGTGGTCCAGGTTGGGTTCGGATTGAGTAGAGTGAACTAATGGAGTAGGTAGAAGTGGCAAGTTTGGTAATATAATATAGTCTATGGAATTGTCCCAATCTGTAGCACTAAAATGGGGAAGAATTGTGCTAATTAGGCTGAAGAAAGGAACATCAAGGTCAGGAAATCTATTAGGCATCTAAGAAATTGTCTATGTTAGCATGGCCTGCAGCCTCCTAACCATGATATTGAGCTTTAACATCTTAAAAGTGTGTGTTTCATAAAAACTGGACGCATCTGGTGTATTGCCACTGAAGCCCTAGAATTTATCTCAATAATTTCCACCCTTTGATAGCGGTTGCCAATAGAGGATTTTCTAGTGCTTTCGCTTGGAGGGAGGAATAGGGAGTATGTTGTACATTAAAAAGAGAACTTTAAGTGCTGATCATCAATTGAAAGCACATTGAGTCCTGGGGATTTTCTTGCCTTTCGTGTTTTTATAGCCCAAACTACCTCCTCTTCCCTGATAGAAAAATGAAGGATTTCTCTTTGCTTTTACAAATTTCAAATCGGCTTAGGTTTAATGGGAGAGTTGAGGAAGTATAGCTAAAAAATTACCTCCTTTTCACCTTCTGTAATCTGATGGAATCTTTGCCATCTTGGTGATTCAAAAGAATTAGAATTGGTCCAAGAAGGGATATATCTGATCTCCCATACCTGCAATCTGATGATGAAATCAACTATTAGATCATTAAACCCAAATGTATTAATTAATATCAAAGCCAAAGTACTAGTCAAGAAATCACTAATAATGTTTATTTTTCTCACGATACCTATGTTGTAAAATAATAACTATAAAAAGTCCCAGTATCAGTCTGGTTATTAACTAATATATTTTATATTAATCTGCTAACTTTTATAAAGGTTAATAGTTTTATACCTATGGATCTGTTAATATCCATCGCTCGGTTGCAATCTCACAAAATTAATCATGAAGTGCTTGCAGTTACATAATTAATAATTGACTTTCTTTTTGAGGAATCACGGTTAACCTTTTGACTCAATAAAAATACTGGAAAACCTTTTCATTAACCTGTAGTCCATGAACTCGGTGAAACTTCGCGTTATGTATCAGGGAAATTAGAACATAGTTCTTTTCAAGAAACTGCTGTGGTTTGTAATTTTTTTTTCTTTTTTTATTCTTTTTTTTTTCTACTTCCAGTAAAATGATTCATATGCCATCATTACTGCTAGGACAAAGTATTGTGCGGTCGAAATAAAAATTGAAACAGTTGGGAACTTTTCTATTCTATAATTTATAATGAGATACATAATTTAGAATTCAGCTAATTCATTTGGACTGTGACTACTAATGGAAAGTGAACTGCGTCATATGAATGTGCGTATCGTACAGTCATTTGTAAAGGGGGTATGTACTAACCTGCAGCAACCGGAAAAAAAACAATCATAAAAATGAATGGGTTGTGTAAACAAAAACAAATGCAATAACAAATGTTAAATCAAAATTTCTTTATTTGTGTCTAACAATCCAAAACGTAAATATATTTGCAGTGTTATGACATTTACTATGAACTATTTGATCAGTAAATACAAAAAGTAATTATTGTTTATGTGAAGTTTTTTTTTGTATACTTTATTAGCTAGTACATACGAGCATGTCATGTCAACAATGAAAAACTAATACTCAGAAAATGCAATCTTTTACTGTTCTCATTTAATTACAATGATCAGTATTTATTTTGCATAGCTAGTTGAGAATTAAATTATGAATTCGGTGCAATATAGAGCAGCGTGCACTCATTTTGTTATGTTGTAGTGTGTTTGTCTTTTATTGCAGGTCAATATTTTATATTGATGTAGTAATGTTGCTACCCTGCTACGCAAAAGATCACCCACAAAATGCCTACATATATACTATTAAAGAATCATGGGCAAGACAAGGCAAAAAATGTGGGAGGTTATTAAATGTAAAATGCGTTGTTGCAACATTTTTATATACAAAGAGTAGATATGCACTGTCTTTGGCTTAATACTGAGAAAATCATTAAGAACAAAAACTAATAATAAAAACAGGATGCAGCACCAAAAACGACCAATTATTAGGAGCGGAATTGTAAGTAGCCAATTGTAAGTAGCCAAAGTAGCCTGGCTGCCATTGGCTGCATTATATCTCTCCAGCTGCAACACCGTTTTAGGTACGCACATTTCTCCAAATCACAGCAAGACAGCCAGGGAGAAAATAATCTTTAGGTAAATAGCAAAGTAAGTTCCAATAGAAACATGAGAAGAATACACACAATCAAAATTCACTAAACCGATTGGAAAACTAGATTGAAAATGTTTAAACTAGACTAGCCAAGCTACACAGGTAGCTGAAAAGGAGATTTTGATTCAGCTCAGCAATTTATGTCTATATGTTCAGTCTGTCTATTTGGTACAAAAAGGCTGGAACAGTAGTAATGGAACACAGGGAATATGTTCACAAGAAAATGGGAAACAAAGAGCAAGATCACAGGAAGAACACTGTGGGGAATGCAAGTTCCAACTCAGTTTACGCACAGCACTTTCACGTACACAGAGACCTTATATGTGGTGTTGACTTGAGTATGTTTAACTCAAAGTAAGTGAATGTTCGATTAGACTGATATTATTTCAGTGTTGGCATCTGTATAAGGGCCATTCAAATACACCAGTTTATTTGGCGTCATCCACATGCAAATAGGACCGCAGTGACTGCTCCAGCTTTTAGGACAGTGGAAGATAGGAGAGGGAGAGACGTGAAATGCATGCCAGGAACAAGGCACACAGGCATTAAAATCATATATTCATCAGTCAATGTATTTATGGTTAAATATCCTACTTTGTTTATCTACACAGAAAATAGATCACAATGTCTCATCTTCTGATTTAGCTTTGGTAAATGCAAAACGATAGATAGACAAACAGACAGACAGCACCGGAATTCTTTCACCTTTGCCACTAGATTATTAATTTATTAAAATCATGTTAATCATATTATCTATAGTGTACTTGTCACGGGTGGGGGTATGGAAACCGGGATCCCTTAGTGCCTGATGAGAAGATGGGAGTCTTCAGCGTGGTAGTGGACACATAGGTCCTGGTGCAGGGTAACCGCATGCCCCCTAGTGTTGAGCACCAGCGTTTGTGCAGCCACATACCAAGACCCTGAAGCAGCCAAAAGGTAAGGAGGCTGGGGGGATTAAATTTGAAGAAAAAAAATGTGTGTGTGTGTAAGTGTGTGTTAGTGTTTGTTAGTGTATTTGTGTGTTAGAGTGTGTGTGTGTGTTAGTGTATGTGTGTTAGTGTATTTGTGTGTTAGTGTATGTGTGTGTTAGTGTGAGTGTATGTGTGTTAGTGTATTTGTGTGTGTGTGTTAGTGTATGTGTGTTAGTGTGAGTGTGTGTGTGTTAGTGTATGTGTTAGTGTGTGTGTGTGTTAGTGTGTCAGTGTTTGTTTGTGTTAGTGCGTGTGTTAGTGTGTGTGTCAGTGAATGTGTCTGTTATTGGGTGTGTGTCTGCTAGTGAGTGTGTTACTGTGTGTGTCTGTTACTGAGTGTGTTTGATGTCTGTTAGTGAGTGTGTGTTTGTCAGTGAAAGTGTATGTTTTGTAAGTGAGTGTGTATGTATGTCTGTCGCTGAGTGTGTCTCTGTCAGTAAATGTGTGTGTCTGTTAGCTAGTGTGTATGCGTCTGTTCGTGAGAGTGTGTGTGTGTGTCTTCAGAATTTACCTTTCTCCAGCGTCGGACTCCCCAGTGTCCGCCACTCAGCTCCGAAATGCACATGCACGGCAAGAGGCGCGCTCGCGCATTTAAACCACCCATAGGAAAGCATTACTCAATGCTTTCCTATGGACGTTCACTGTCTTCTCACTGTGATTTTCACAGTGAGAATCGCGGAAGCTCCTCTAGCAGCTGTCAATGAGACAGCCACCAGAGGCTGGATTAACCCTCAGTGAAACATGTTTTCAGCTGCAGGGTTAAAACTAGAGGGACCTGGCACCCAGACCACTTCATTGAGCTGATGTGATCTAGGTGTCTGTAGCGGTCCTTTAAGTGTGTGTGCATACCACGGTCGCGGGGTCGCAGCCCTGCAACCAGGTGCCCGCCACCATGTGTTGCGACCCCGACCCGCGCCAAGAAGCGCGCGGGGGGGGGCCCACGGATCAATTTTTGCACCGGGGCCCCATGGGTCATGTGTACGCCACTGATGTCAATGTACCCCATATCTGACAGGTCCTACACTGCCTAATGTTCGCTAAAACAACCATACTAAACCACAATATCACTTACCTGCAAGAAAGGGCAGAGACTTGAAACACTGCTGCAGGTCCAGACTGAAACAAAAGGAAAATGGAAAACAAACGGGTGTGGCAACATAAAACAAACATTTAAAGGAAACCTGGACACTGGGAATTTCAGGGACGGATTACAGGAATGAACCCAGAAAAACCCAGCATAAAGAAAATCAGACATGGAATAGAAAACCAAAAAAACAAGAAAAACTAAACAAGAAATGTAAAAAGAGTACTGGACACCAGAAGCCAAGTCAGACATCAGAACAGAGCAGAGCAGATCCTGACAGTACTACTGTAATATTTTGTACTTGCAGTTACATTTAGTAATTCATAATCTGGCTATTAGGGTTTGAGTGGAAAAATTCTAACTTGCATACCCCAAATGTTTCTTGTCCTGTCCCACTCCTTCACCATGCTTGCCACTGTAAATTCCTTAAAATAATAGTTTATCTCTACTCATTCCTAGGCCCATTTCCCATACCATCTCTGCAACAAGCCTCTTCAATTCTACTCGGCTCAACCCAAGCACCCGCCCACCCGGGTTCCTGTTAACTATATAGCATGCTCTTCTATCTGTTTGGAATCACAGACAATCACCTTCCCATCACATGTTATCAGTTAGTGCAATTATATGATAAATTCTCTCTGCCATCACCTTAAAAAAGATGGATAGATAGATAGATAGATTACACAGACAGACAGACAGATCGATCGATAGATTACACAGACAGACAGACAGATAGATGATAGATTAGACAGACAGATACAAAGAGAAAAATAGACTGATTATTACTAATTACTATTTATCAGTCTACCATAGAACAGTCTGCTTTAGTTTTTAATTTTTGTGGTATATTTAAATATATAAAATACTGCGATATGTAATACACACACACACACACACACACATATATATATATATACTAATACAATTTAAAACATATATATAGATAGTCACTGACTCATACAATTAAAATTAAAACATATATATTTGAATTGTATGAGTCAGTGACTATTCTAACTCTCACCATAGTTCACACACTCTGTGATTGAACTAGTTAATGCGTTTTCGCCTGTCATAAAGCTAGTGTCTGATGGCCGGTCATTAGGTTTGACTAACGTGATAAATTAATTAAAGGTGCAGAGGATGCTTTTGTGCGTTAATTGACATTTTGCGAAGACTGACATTAAAATAACCTTTGCCCTCAGTAAAAATGAAATGAAGGCAATTATTCTGTGCTGGCTCAATGACAAACATTCTAATTACATGACTGGTAGCACTGATATGACCCTAGCTATTGTTAGGTCCAAGGAGAATTGGTACAAAAATCATTAAAACAATCATAACAAAACAAATACTGTCAAAAATTATTTTGCATCCTTTGTTTTTCATTCCTCGCTTATAAATGGGGATTAAAGATATCTTGTTCTATTTCATGATTTTAAAGTCTTTTATTATTTGTTATTTTTTGTCTGACTATCTAGTGACCCTGTGATCTAGCTACGCACAGTTATTTTTCTTTTTCAATTTATTTTATCTTACTTAGGGTCATTTCCAATATTACCATTACTTGGACTATTGGATTGTGATTTAATGTATATTTACAAAAAATATAAATCAAAATGGTAAAAGACACACATTATGTATAAATAGTGAACATGAGAGCATTTATAGGAATGCAGATTCCCAAACTGTCTATGTTTAGTAAACCTTCTACAATATGTAAACCTTAACCTTGTACACAGTAAAAAGAGTTGGCTGGCTGGTTTGCACATAAATGCATGTCAATAGCCTCGTTCTTCACCTCCCCATCCTGAAATGCATCCATTTAATTTTGAGCCATATTTGGCTACATTATAGTATGAAAGGGATTTTCATCATTGTTTATTGTCTTCCTGAAGAATGAAGGGTGACTGACCAAAACCCAGATAATAGGCATGTGCATGGGGAAAATATTCGGCTCGGTTCGGCATTCCGAAATTCGGGACTTCGTCAATTCAGCAATTCGGCACTTCGACACTTCCGAACTTCGGCACTTGAACACTTTGGCACTTCAGCACTTCGGAACTTCGCCACTTCGGAACTTCGGCAACTTCAGCACTTCGGATCTTAGACACTTCGGAACTTCGGCACTTCGGAACTTCAGAACTCCGGCATTTCGGGACTTTTCTTGCAGCCGCTTGGTAGATAACTCTGTAATTCCCACGGTATTAGGGAGTTATCTACCAAAAGGCTCAGGGGTGGGGGCCAGGGGGAGGACATTAGGTCCCCCTCAAATTTGTATTTAGGGCCCCCACCCACCGCTCAGGGGGGAGGACATTAGGTCCCCCCTTATTCTTGTTTAGGGCCCCCACCCACTGCTCAGGGGTGGAGGCCAGGGGGAGGACATTAGGTCCCCCCTTTTTCTTGTTTAGGGCCCCCATCCACCGCTCAGGGGTGGGGGCCAGGGGGGAGGACATTAGGTCCCCCCCAATTTGTATTTAGGGCCCCCATCCACCGCTCAGGGGTGGGGGCCAGGGGGGAGGACATTAGGTCCCCCCCAATTTGTATTTAGGGCCCCCAACCACCGCTCAGGGGTGGGGGCCAGTGGGGAGGACAATAGGTCCTCCCCCTTTTTTTACTTTTTTGCCCCACCCGTCACTCAGAGGTGGGGGCCGGGGGGACCACAGGCTGCTCACTGTTTAATAGACATGCCCCTACTCACGGTATAGCGAGTAGGGGCACAACTTACTAATACTAAGTAACCTTTACTTAGTATTAGTAAATTTGGCTGAAAGACCAATTTAGGTCTTTCAGCCTTTTAGTATATAGCTCCCTAATACCGTGGGAATTGGGGAGTTATCTACTTATTTATTCCTGTCATTACATGACTGACTAAGTAACTTACATTTTATATGAATGTATGTTACTTGATTGTTGTAAGTGTTGCAATGCTTTCAGCTGAATCCTGGCTATGTTTGTATACTTTTTATTTGAAATTGTATACAGTGTAACATTCTTCTTCTTTCACTGGGTAAGTATATTAGTACTTAGGCAATACTGTGCTTCGGAACTTCGGCACTTTGACACCTCGGAACTTCGGCAACTTCGGAACTTTGGCACTTCAGCAATTCGGCACTTTGGCACTTCAGCAATTCGGCACTTCGGCACTACTACACTTTGGAAATTTGGTAATTTTGGCACTTTGGGACTTTGGCAATTTGGCACTTCGGCAATTCAGCTATTCGGACATTCGGAAGCACCCGAATGTCCAAATTACCCGAAATTCGGCCGAATTTTAATTTGGACCGAAACTAATTGCACATGTCTACCAGATAATTTATCCGAGTGGAGCTTTCTAAAACGCATCTATAAAGATACACTTGCAAGATATCCAAGTCATTTGTTCTACCGCCAAACATTGTTTAGCTACATAGCTAGTCATGGTTGATACATTTATGATTCAATCAGATTCTTTGCATTTAATATTTGGTAAAAAATAAACAGACACGCTTGGTACATGTTTGGTGTACTCAACACTTGATGACAGCATAGACATGTAAGATTCAATAAGATTGTACATGTTTTGATGGGTTACCAAAAATTTGTTGAGATTTTGAACACATAAATGATTATTTATTTATGAAATATTTTACCAGGAAAGATACATTGAGATTTCTCTCGTTTTCAAGTATGTCCTGGGTCCACAAAACATTTCATTGATACAACAGGATACAATAAAATACAAAAACAATATTAATACACAGCATATTCCAAATTTAACATAGAACAGGTAGGAAATATATAATCAACCATGACAGGTGCATTCTATTTTGAGGTACGTAGAGAGGGATCTCTTAAAGGACTTTAGGCTTGAGGAAGATTTGAAAGTGTGCGGGAGGTCATTCCATAATTGCGGTTCTCTGTAGGAAAAGGAGGATCGGGCTGCTTTCTTTTTGTATTAAGGTAGACTAAATAAAGTACTGGTACTGGATTGGAGGCTAAAGGAGGTGGGAACAGGCCAGGAGAGCATTCTGCTCAGGTAGGGTGGGAGCTTCCCAAAAAAGCTCTTAAACACAAGGCTGGAACGATGAAGGGTGCGTCTGGATTCCAGCGACAGTCAGTTTGATGACAATACCATCAAACTGATAGACAAATGATGAACTCAGTATGTGGTTAGAATGTGTACATATGGAAATGCCAAAGCAATGGTAGGTATATATACCATAGATTGTGTATCCCAACTATGATGTAATGTGTATATATATTTATATATATAGTTATGCACCGAAGACTTACCTATATTTAACTGGAACATTGAGCTCTCAGTGAAAGTATATGCATTTTTACTTTAACTGTGCAAACAGAAAATTGTCTGTCAAACAGATTGATGCTGAAAAAAGATCTCGCATTCAAAAAGTGCTGAGTACCTTTATCTCTGCTTCAAATAAATAACAGATTCCTGCTCTTTTCATCTATAAGTGCAGTCAGGTACATTATAAACATCGCAAAACATCGCATTTGATTTCATTCTCATTTAATGCATAAATGGACTTTTGTATTTTCTGCATAAGATGCATTTCTAAACATAAGAAAAAGCTTATTGAATAAATGATAATGTGCCGGCTTCTTTGAACTTTATATCCTTTTCCTTTATTTATAGAGATGTTTACATGGC